AGAGGAAGAGAGAAGGAAGAGCCACTGGGCTGTGTGTGCCTGAGGCTTCCTGAGCCCCTTTCTCTGTCCACAGTCTGCTCTGGCCTCACTGCTGTGGGCTGTGGTGCCAGAGAAATCTCAGGTAGCAGCTCAGAGTCTGGGGACATGAATCTGGGGACAGATCTTCCTCCATGCACTTAAGCGTCTATTTTATTCTCATTCTTGGACATTCTGGGCTTCAATAACACCTGTCAGTCTCCCTCAGAGACAGATCTGCTTTCCCCACCATATGGGGATGGTGTTGATGGGAACCAGAAAGAAACACCAGGAAGATGCAGATCCCAGGGTCACGCCTGGAGGTTTGCACTGAGCCTTGTTCCCTGCACTTACTGAAGAGTGTGTGCTCTGAAGCAGTGTTGACTTGGGGTTCTCTCTGCTCACTGCCATGCTGTCAGGAGAGGTTTGAGGGGATGTGTGTGAGAAGCCACAGCAGAGTTAGGTCTGGAAACACCTCTGTCCCCTGTGCTCTGCAGGACTCCTGAACTGGGGTGAGGTGATAAGCCTGAAGGAAGGAGCTTTCCCTGTCTCCATGGCTCAACTTCCTCCATTGCCAGAGTATCCCAGGACCTGGCTCCTCCTGGCTCTGGATCCTGTAGACCTGTGTTCCCTGTCAGCCCCTGGCCCCAGCCTGGCATCTCCCTGGGCAGAAGCTTCCCTCCCCATAGCTGCCCTTTGTCTGGTGGGTCTGAGCCCATCTGCTGCTACAATGCCTGCTGTCCTGGATGGTTTTGTGTCAACCTGACATAGCTAAGCCATCAGAGAGGAGGGAAATTCAATTGAGAAAATGCTTCCTTCAGAAGCAAGACTGTAGGGCATTTTCTTAATTAGTGATTGATACCTGAAGGTGGGAGGTGCCATCGCTGGGTTAGTGGTCCTGGGTTCTGTAAGAAGGCAGCCTGAGAAAGCCATGAGGAGCACCCCCCCCATGGTCCCTGCATCAGTTCCTGCTGTCAGGTTTCTGCCCTGTGTGAGTTCCTGTCCTGACCTCCTTTGATGACCAATAGTAACGTGGAAGTGTAAGACAAATAACTACTGTTAGCTGCAGAGGGCTCACCATACTTGTTCCCATGTCTGTGCTCCTCTAGAGTGGTTGCAGAGGATGATGGAGGTCCTTATGTAGTAAGATTTGGTTCCAGCTCTAGCTCTCCTTTGTAGGCTGTCAGTTCTGATTACATTTTCTCTGTGTAAGGAGCGGTTGATTACAGAGGCACGATATAAATGTGTCTCCTTTTTCTGCGGGTAAGCCACAGCCTCGTGGCAATACACAGACTAATAGAAATGGGTTAATAATTAAGAGAGAGCTAGCCAGTAAGAAGACTTTACCATCAGCCAACAGTTTATAAATAATTATAAGTCTCTGTGTGTTTATTTGGGGCTGAATGGCCGTGGGGCCAGGCAGGACAGAAACCACCATCTTCAGGCACTATTATGTGGTATGGCCTTGTTGGAGGAAGTATGTCACTGTGGAGGTGGCTTTGAGTTCTCATATATGCTCAAGCCACACCCAGTGACTCAGTTCACTTCCTGTTGCCTGCAGGTCAAGATTGAAGACTCTCACCACCTTCTCCAGCACTATGTCTGCCTGTACCCTACCGTGTTCCACCATGATAAAGGTCTCAGAGACCCATGAGTTTTATCTGTCATGTTGAGTGAAACCCGCCCATCCTCATGCTCCAAGAAGACACTGACTGGCAGGGGCTCAGGAGAGGCGACTTCCCAGTACACACCCTAACAGAGAGTGGTGGCCCAGAAGCCATCCTGCAAGTTTATGTTAGACTTTCCACTCCTGGTCACATGCACCCCCTACCCCCATCCCTGGGTTCACAGTACCTGACCTTCATCTCCCAGTATCATTACCCTGAGATAAAAACCTGCTGGCCCAGCACACAGGGTATGGAATAAATCTCAGTGGCTCCATGGGGCAGACCTGAGGTCCCCTGTGGTCACATGTCTCCCTTTAGATGAGTTCAGGCTGTGTCTGGGTCCAGAGTTACAGCCACCACAAAGAAAACCATCCCTCTGATCTCCAAGACACTCAGCCTGATGGCATGCTCTTATGCCAGCCCACAAGACCCCCAGAGAGACCACCACTTGGAGCCAACACTCCTGAATGCAATTGCAAGGTTTCTTTATTCAATCCTAGTCAGGGACCTAGGCTTGAATTCTCCACCAAAGGAAACCAGTCCTTTTCCATTTGACACAGCAGCTGCAGGAGAAAGGCCCCTGGAGCCTCACAAGCAAGGGGCTTTTAAAGACAAAGACCACAGGATAGGGTGAGGGATACAGGTATAAGCTGATTGGCTGGGGTGTCTCGAGGAACTTGGGAGTTTGGGAATTTTCTATAGATTTATCTCTGGTTCCATGTGTACTCACAAAGATTGTTTTTGTAACTCTGATAATTGGCTAACCTGGAGCCAGGGTCATTTGTCTCCCGTTCCTGCCTGTCAGGGCCTGTGGAGTTATTGCACCTTCCTGCTTGTTAGCTTCTCAGGGGACGGTGTAAGCCATCTGCACAGGTCACGGGGTCAGGTTCTCACACAGTGCTCTTTTTGGCCTTTTCTCTAGGATGGCTCTGGTTTGGTCGTTCATTGCAAGAGTCCTCTGCAGACTGAGATGTCTGGAGCTGGAGGAGGAGGGGACACTCAGATATGAGTTCTGTCCTCTCTCTCCTTTACCCGAGGCTGAGCCCAAACATGGGGAGCAGACTCATTCTGAGACTGACAGAGTGACTCAACAGCGTGGTCAAGCTCCTTCCTCCAGTTCTCAAAAGAATACACATGTATATCCATAGAACTAACATTTGGATTTTCCTCCAGAGGAAACCAGTTTTTTCCACTTTCACTTTGTACATTGTTTGACCTAAGTTTTCCACTCCTTTCCTCATTAAATATTGATGCTCGGGTTAATTACTCTAAATATACTTTCCCTTGTGTGGACTGGAGGAGTTTAGAGTACAGCTTTCGTCTTCTGGAACAGATAGGAACTTCCATTCTCTGCCCTCCCACAGGCACTTCTGAAGACACATGGGTGGGACACGTCAGCTGTGAGGAATGAGTAGCACGGAGTTCATGGGAAATTTCCCACTTTCATTCTCATTATAACACATCCCCAGGATGGCTGCACCCAGGTCCCCAGGCTGCCCCCAGGATGGACTGCCTGCTGGTCACCAGGCTGGACCCTAGTACAGTCCACACCCTGGTCCCCAGGATGGTGCTGTTTATCAGGTTGTGGAAGTATTAGAAAGTCCAGCTTGAAAAATCCCGACTTGAAGTTTATGTTCTGGCATTACATACACTCTGTGTTCTCAAGGTTTCTTGTTATGAACAGACTTGAGATGGGAGCCCCAGCTGGCATGCCCCTCCACCCCCCACCATGGAGCTTCCTACTGCTCTGCAATCCTGGTCCTGATGGAATGTGTCCCTTCAGAACCAGAGCCAGATAAATGTTTCTGGCCTGAGTGCTTTCTCATCCTTTTGGATGAGGTTTTAGGGCTGTGCTCAATGCCACCCTCACAGAAGCTGTTTATTGCCAGTTCTTTATGAAACATGCCCAGATATAGCATTAAAAACTTGTGGAGTAAGATCACAGTGCCATTTTACTTATGTTCAATCTAGTATTATAGTTGCTATAATTTTACATTATCAAGGTTTGCCTTTCTTGGGTCATTTCATAGTAATTCAGTTAAGAAAACTGGATATGGGCCGGATGATGGTGCATCTCTGTGAAATAGAGAACAGCCTGGTCTACAGAATGAGTTGCAGGACGGCCAGGTTACACAGAGAAACCCTGTCTTGAAAAAAAAAGAAATCAAACCCAAAAAGGTTGTCCTGGTTTGCTTCTGTGTTGCTGTGGTAAAGACTCTGGTAGTTAGAATAAGAATGTCCGCCATAGGCACATGAACTTCAATGCTTAGTCACCAGGAAGTGGCACCTTGTTGGGGCAAGTGTGTCACTGGGGATGGGCTGTGAGGTCTCCCTCTTGAGGCTTGCAGATCAGGGTGTATCTCTCAGCTGCTTCTCCAGCACCAAGGTGGCTGCCATGCTCTCTGCCATGACTAAGCCTCTGAAACTGTAAGGCAGCCCCCGGTTAAATGCTTTCTTTCATAAAGAGTTGCCTAGCCATGGCATCTCTTCACAGCAATGACAATGACCAAGAGCAACTTGGAGAGGAGAGACTCACAGATCACACTCCATCAATGAGGGAAGTCAGGGCCGGAACTCAGGACAGGAGCCGGGAGGCAGGAGCTGATGCAGAGGCTACAAGGAACTGTTGTGGAACTTTACATACCAGCTTGCTCCTCAAGGCTTGCTCGGTTTGCTTTCTTATATGCCCCAGGACCACCGGACCAGGAGTGGAACCATCTAGAGTGGGCTGGGTCTTCCCACATCAACCATCCATCTAGAAAATGCCTTACAGACTTACCTACAGGCCAATCTGATGGGGGCAGTTCCTCACCTGAGGATTTCTCTTCCCAGATGACTCTAGCTTGAGTCAAACTGACAAAGACCTAATCAGCACATTGCTGGTCTGTAGGAAGTTAGATATAGACAAACGATAACACCAGGTGAATGTACCCAGAGTACACTACACACTTGCACGAGAATGGCCCTATGATGCCCTAAATTATAACAATAATGATGATGATGATGCCATTGGTATATAAGCAGGGAGCAAATGTGCTGTCAGATTCAGGAAGCCATGGATTCATTTATTTTAGGAATGATTAAACAGATTTGTATAAAAAGGAAGACTATTAATAATCATAACAGCACATATGGCAGAATCTGTCTTTTCTGCTGGTAGTCTCAGAAACTTGAGGTCCAGAAACTGGCCATAGAGGCTCATGGAGTCTCAGGTAAGAGGCCTCCCAGCAGAGGTCCCTGTGACTGCCAGGAGGACCAGAGTCCTGGAGTTTACAGATGACACACTGAAGTACCCGCCCACTGAGTTCTCTGTGCACATCACTTGGGACTGTGTGATGGAGAGAGGCCCACGGGATGACGCGTGAAGTAAGGATAGAGTGATCCCAAGAATCTGGCCTGGGCGAAGGAGAAGATGTGGGTCTCATCAGTCATATTGTAGAAAGAAAGGTCATTGTCCTCCTGGTCCAAGAAGATTGCAATCTTGAGTGGCCGAGTCTCCAGCAGTTCCAGAGAAACGGCTTGGGAACAGAAGGCAAGAGCCCTGTATTCATCTCCCTTCTTCTCCAGGACTCTGAATTTCCTCAGAGATTCTCTGGATGGCACATCCTGAGTGGACAGCTCGTAAACACCGAGTGTCCATTCCTCAGTGTCCCCTACATCCACCTCCCAGTAATATCTCCCCAACATGAAGCCTTCTTGGTACAGCGTGATGACGTGGTGATTTTCTTGTGGGTTGCTGAGGGATGGATGTGCTGTCTCCTCTCTGCTGCTCTCTTCTGTTTCTGGGCCAGTTTTGAGGCACTTCATGATTTATCCTCACAGGAGCTGCGGAGGAGGAGGAGGGGGAGGGGGAGGGGAAGAGAGAGGGTGAGAGGGAGGAATAGGGGAAGGAGGGGTGAGTGAGAAGAGGAGACTAAGTCACAATTGTAATGTTTCTATACCAATAACTCTGTGTCCAAAGTGAGCGCTGTGTGTAGGAGGTTACTGGATGGGTGAAGTCTTCAGGAAACTGCATGTGGAGAGTGGTGTGGCCACACTCCTGGGGTGTGGGGCCGTGTGCTCTCACAGGGCATTCTGAGCTCTGCGTCTCATGCTATCTTATCTATGCTATGGTAGGGTCTTGGGAGAGCATGGGGTGAGCCAGCACTTGGTAAATCAGAGCCTTGCTCCTCTATTATGGAAGGGCTGGTCACAAGCTGACCTCACAGAGTGAAGCAGTGTTCTTGCCACTAGGAGCTGTGTTTCCTCAGTCAGGTGTCTCCTCAGTAATGAGCAGTGGTTCTGTCTTCCAAGCCCAGTGGATGCCACAGACAAGAATGCTGGGCCAGTGTGTGGAGAAGGGAACAGAACCAGTGTGGCTGAGCCTGGCCATGGTTTGCAGCAGATCGCACAGCAGGGTCCCTTCCTCCCCTCCCAACCCTTAGCCTGAACAACAGAGTCCTCTGTTAGGAAGGTCACACAAGACACCAGAGGCCAAACCAGAGGGAGGCTGCAGTTGACCAGGCATGTGCAAAGCTTCACACTCATCTCCAATGAGAAACAAAACAAGAGGAGCAACCTCAGAGGAGCAAACCCAGAGGGTCGAGGCAAACAGGAGCAAACCGACTCACCCAGCTGGAACAGTTCCTTCCTCCAGTCTGGAAGAGATCAGAGCAAAGGATGGTGCAGCTGCACCCAAGGAGCAGAAAGGAGCTGCCTGCCCCCAGTGCTTTCTCCTCCCACTCTCTCTGTCTCTAAGTCTCTGGGGCTTTCTCGTGTCCACAAACTCCTGCAGGTAGGTGGCTCTCTGTGCTGATTCAGGGACTACTCCCTAGAGCCTCAGTGCTGGTGGTGGGGGTGAGGGGTGATGGGGTGAGGCTGGGGTGGGGTAGAGATGGGTGGGGGTGGGGATGAGGATGGGGTAGGGGTGAGGGTAGGTGTGGGTGCTGAGCCCCTCTTGCTCAGATGCAGCAGCTGTTGGGCCTCAGGTTTTATTGAGAAGCTAGATATGTCCATGCCCATAGCCCCAGGAGGAGGAGAGGTGAGGACTTTCATTTCCTAACAGAACAGCACTGTGACCTCTCATTGACGCTCCCTCCACAAAGAAATTTAACATCTGATATACACAGCCATGAGGACAGGTGTCAGGGAGAGCAGCTGGAAATGTTGGTCCTCTGCACCCTGCAGGGAAGGAAAATAGCCAATCCTGCCCCCATCTGCCCTGCAGTGAAGGAGAATGGCTGACCCTATCCTCAGTGCTTAGCTCCCTTCTTCAGAACCACAGGATGTTTTTTTTTTTTTTTTTGGTTTTTCGTG